CATACATAGACAGAAGGAGTTACAAAAACCCCTTTGTGACACACCATGACACAATGGTCCACAGAACTCTGCCACTGCACACAGCTCCTTATGGTCCTCAAACGACCACCAAGTAACAACATAAAGACAACAGAGACTGCCCAACATCTTGCTATTGATCCCTACTGTTACACCCATTAATGTTTTCACACCCATTACGATGTCAATATGCTTACATCTTATACTTAACTGGATATATTGGAAAAGTTGATTATGCTTTTCTAAACTGAATAAAATATAAATTGGAAAAAAAAAATAGTAAGCGATTCTTTGTTTCATTGGTTTTAATTTCTATTCGTTCATCCATCTTTTGGACGAATAGCTTAAATTCTGACAAAAAAATTTTTTTTTTTCATCTTTCCAAGATCTTTTTTTTAAAGGTGGTTTGTGTGCAGCACCTAAACTTGTAAAATTGTTTATCTTGGTACCCTTTCTTCTCTATTCACCTAGCTACTCCTTCCTCTAAATGCTGCATCTAAATACAGCTTTAAATTTTGAGGCTACTTAAAGTTACCTATCTCCGCAAACAATCTCCCCTTCTAACCTCGCCCACACTTTATGTGACTGTCCAATCACAGACTTCCCAATGCAGCTTAAAGGGTCACTATAGTCTCCACAACAGCTACAGCTTATTGTCTTTGTTCTGGTGAGTAGAATCATTCCTTTCAGGCTTTTTGCTGTAAACTGTCTTTTTTTCAGAGAAAATGCAGTGTTGACATTACAACCTAGTGATCACTCCACTGACCACTCTTCAGATGACTGCTAAAGCTGCTTCTTAGGGCAGTGCTGCAGAGTAAGCAGCATTGCCATTTAGTGTCTCCACCCTTTGCATGCAGACTCTGAACTTTCCTCATAGGGATGCATTGGTTCTATCCATCTCTATGAGGAGATGCTGATTGTCCAGAGCTGTGTTTCACTTGTGCTGGCTCTGCCCCTGATCTGCCTCCTTGACAGTCTCCGCTAATCCTATGGGGAAGCACCACCACTTCTGATGATGTCAGCAGACAGGGGCCGGTCAGAGGCAGACAGAGCCAGAGCCAGCAGCTTCAGACTTAAAGAAAAGTAAGATTGTACTATATTTAGGGAAGCAAGGGGGGTTCAGGGGGCTAGATGTTGGTTTTAACACTATAGGGTCAGGAATATATGTTTGTGTTCCTGACCTTATAGTGTTCCTTTAATAAGAAGTCTTTACAAGGCAGGTGCTCTGAGCAATTGTTAAGTTCCACTGTGCTTAACAGGAAAGTAATAGAACCAGTTGTCTAATTTGCATCCAGGTAGGGCCGGTGCAAAGCTTGAGACCACCTCATTCCTGGTGGAAAGGGGCTGTAGATGGGGACACAAGGGCTCTAGAAGGGGGTCAGAGGCCGTGGTGGGGGATAGTGTATGTACAATGGTGGACAATGTCTGGGGGACAGGGGCTGTAGAGGGACACACACACAGATAAGCTGTAGAGGGGGGAGGACACAGGGGCTGTAGAGGGGGCTGAGAGGGCAAGGGCTGTAAAGGGGGAAACAGGGGCTATAGAAGTGGGGTAGGGGAGTAAAAGAGGGGTCATGGGCTGTAGAGTGGGGGTGTGGGCAATAGAAGGGGTGTGTAAAAGGGGGCACAGAGGCTATAGAAGTTGTGGGCAGGGGCTGTAAAGGGGGGCAGGGGCTAAGAAAAACCCCAAACCCACTTCTGAGTTTTACCTGAGCCTGGAGCGAAGCCTGCAGCCAGGGGAGTCGGCCGGTTTCTCCTGATAATGTCAGAAGGAGGGGGCGTTACTTCCACTGCTCTTCTCCCAGACTCCCCAGTGGATTGCAGATTGCTGGGGAGTCCATAGAAGAGCAGTGGAAGTCACGCCCCTTCTCCTGACATCATCAGGAGAGACCGACCAACTTCCTGCCTGCTGTGTGATAGCTGCAGGCTGCAGGGAGAATGAGGTAATGTGAAAAATCTGAGTCCCCAGCCACAGACGGGATCCGGATTTTTGCGCCCCCTCTGCTCTGGTGCCCTAAGGCGGCTGCCTGTGCAACCCTATAGACGCGCCGGCCCTGCCTCCAGGAAGTGTAACATGGTCAAAGGGTACCTGTCATGGTGAATACAACTCAATGTTAAATGATAGAGAATCAAATTTTATCTATACATTTTGTTTGAAGATTTTAGATTTCGCTAATATCAGAAGTTTAAAAATGTCCTTTCCCCCCTCGATCAGTCAGTTCAGTCTAGGTGATCCTGTGCCCATCAGCACAGAGATAAGAAGGCTCTGTTAACAGGGAAACCCTCCTCTGGGTGTATTTCCTGTTTGAATTTAGTCTAAGGGAAAGCAGTGTCTGCAAGAGGAAGTAGAGAGAAGGGGCAGGCTCTGTGTGATAGTGGCAGCAGCCCACAGATATAAGTGAAAGTAAACCTAATGATTTATTTCAGCAACTTTGGATGAGCTAATCTAAGAAATAGAGAGCAGAGAAGTTTTATTTACACAATGCCAAAATAAAGTGTTTCTGATCTTGTAGCCTGTTATGGGAAGCAAATCTGTGCTTTCTAAATAGGGGAATGCAGGAGAGGTGTGTCTTACAGTAAGTGTAATACCCCCTGAAACCATGATTGATGTTCTCATTGGGAGACTGGGTAATGGACATAAATTAAAATAGGTTTTGATAGTATTAAAGGAACACTATAGTCACCTAAACAACTTTAGCTCAATTAAGCAGTTTTAGTGTATAGATCATGCTTCTCAGATTTCACTGCTCAATTCACTGCCATTTGGGAGTTAAAGGGACACTATAGTCACCAGACAATTTAACTACAGTGAATTTGTTCAGGCTTTTTTTCTGTAAACTCTGTGTTTTCAGAGAAAATGCAGTGTTTACATTACAGCCTAGTGATAACTTAACTGGCCACTCCTCAGTTGGCTGTTGGAGATCCTTCCTGGGTCATGGCTGCCTAAAATGCATCCAAACATTGTGTCTCCTCCCTCTGCATGCAGACACTGAACGTTCCTCATAGAGATTCATTGATTCAATTAATCTCTATGAGGAGATGTTGATTGGCTAGGGCTGTGTTTGAATCATGCTGGCTCTGCCCCTGATCTGTCAGTCTCAGCCAATCCTATGGGGAAGCATTGTGATTGGATCAGACTACCACTTCTGATGATGTCACCAGACTGCTTGTTTTTCTGAGACAAACGGCATGCAGATTTACAGCTTCAGGCTTGAAAACAGTAAGATTTTGCTATATTTATGGAGGCATGAGGGGGATAGATGGTGGTTTTAACACTAGAACACTGTTTGTGTTCTTGACCCTCTAGGGTGGTTTTAACACTATATACAATATGTTTGTGTTCTTAACCCCTTAAGGACACAAGACGTGTGACATGTCATGATTCCTTTTTATTCCAGAAGTTTGGTCCTTAAGCGGTTAAATAACTTTATTTCTGTTTATGCAGCCCTTGGCACACCTCCCCTGGCTCTGATTGACATAGCCTGCATGAAAAAAAACTGGTTTCACTTTCGATCAGATGTAATTTACCTTAAACAATTGTATCTCTTTCTCTGTAAATTGAACTTTAATTAAATACAGGAGGCTCTTACAGCGTCTAGCAAGCTATTAACATAGCAGGGGATAAGAAAATCTAAATATACAGAACTTGCAATAAAGGAAGTATAAACTTTAGATGACTCTATCGGAAGTGTTTAGGAAGGCTGTGCAAGTCACATGCATGGAGGTGTGACTAGGGTTCATAAAGAAAGTGTCCCTTTAAGGGAAGAAACGCTTAATTGTATAACATGAGTCAAGCCAAATGGTTATAAAACTGCAAACCTATACATGTTAAGAGTGGTTGAAAAAGACAGTCTTCACACATAGATCAGAAGTGCTTTAGGGGTCTGGAGTGTCCCTTTAAGTGAATGACCCTGATTATTCACAGCATAGATGTAGAATGGCAGGTAATTATAGTGCAATAAATTAATCCGAAGTTGTTGATTAAGATGCCTAAACATGATTTTGGATCAGCTGGTACCTGTGAATGTAATAAATAAATAAGTAAACTACATACCTTTGAATTACATATTCAACTGTACAATCAAAAATAACCTATATAAGGTATGACACATAAAATGTAATACCAGCAGGGAAGTGAATAACAAAGTGTGTCAGCACTTTAATTGCTTGAATAGAGATTACCTTGGTAACACTCCATGTGACTTGGATGCCATTTTCAATGTAGAAAACCAACCCAGTGCTCCGCAGCTAAAAATATTGTACGTCCGTAATTCATCGTATTGCTGTTAAAATGTTCCAGTAATGCAAAATGTGATGACTCTTCTGAACATAAGTGTATCTGCCTTTATTTCATCTTGTGTTTTTTTTCAGAAGAGAAGAGGAACAGTGTAAATTCTAGTGCTGAGTCGGTCATCTCATCGAACGCGAACAGCTCCGCCAACTCAACCTGTGCTCAACGTACCAATCTGAACAACCTCAACTCCAGCGACACTGACCTGGAAGTCCAGAAAATGAACAGGCCAAATTCACTGTAAGTATGAAGTCATGGACCTCTGGCACATTTTAAAGTTTATGCAATTAGTTTTAATGAAAAAAAAGCATGAAAGTCCTCTGATTAATAATGTATCACAACCTGCGTTTTGCCATCTTCTAAGTCTAAAGATATACAACACTATTTTAACATTATGGAATTGTCTACAGTTTCATTCATGGAGGTACATTTTTTTATCACGTTATCAGTTTATGATCAATAGGAAATTATTCCATAGCCTCTGGGACTTGATTGTTTTAAACTATTCAATGTCCTTCCTTAATTGGTTATCTCTAACTAATGTGAAATAAGAATTGCATTGTTAGGCTGTCGGCTGTTATGACTACATCCCGGACTTATGTGGCTTCTGTCTCCCGGAGAGTAACACCTAAAAGCTTAAATTCAGCTAATATGTCTTGGAGTTTCAATCGTTCCACCAGTAAAATCTTCCATAGTGTTAATTGCCTAGAACAGGGCTGTCCAACCTGCGGCCCCCCCAAGATGTTGCTGAACTACAACTCCCATGATTATCTGTTTCATTGAAAGAATCATGGGAGTTGTAGTTCAGCAACATCTGGGGGGCCGCAAGTTGGACAGCCCTGGTCTAGAACCAATAATATGTTGGAACCATTTGTTCTTCTGGTAAACAATTAACTGTATTTTTAGAAACCAATAATCTGCTTTTTAAAAATGTTAAAAATAGTAATTTATGTAATCTTTATTCCATGAATAGGACTCTACCTGTATAGACATAGGAGGTGTATGAAATTAAAAGAAAGAACATGATGGCAAGAAACGTTGTATGTGAAAAGGCATAAAGGCATTTTGGCTTCTTGCCTGCTCTGGTCTGGTTGATGCTCAGTCAGATCACTAGCGTCCCGTTGGGAGTTTTACTTGCTCCAAAAATGCAGAGTAGAGTATTTCAATTGCATCCAGGAAACTTTGAAGCTGTTGAGGCCTTATCATGTGTCTTAGAAGTTGCCATTTTTTCCCCCTAATGCCATCTTGGGATAGCTGAGGCCAAGAGAAAATAAGAAAGTGCATGCTAGTCAAGGAACTCCAGCTATAAGTACCTGGTGACCCTCACCGATAGATCCTATCTTGGACGTCTGGCTTCTGATTCCATAAACACTGTAGAGTAAAGCGATTGGCTACCTCACTCACACCCTTGTCCCCCAATAGGGTACAGGTTTGCTGAGAAAGAAGAACAATATTTTGGAATAAGTGCAAGGTCATGTAGCATTTTACATGGGATAATTAAAAGCCTTTCTCGGGCATTCGCTTGTGGCAAAAAAAGTTTAAACATTTCTACATTGCCTCTGAATATGAAACATGTTCACATGACTTTGACGTTAGCTTTCCCAAACATAAGCCAGCAGAACAGGTGTATTGAACAACTGGTAGTATACCTCCACAATTCCTTTTTTAGAGTCAGTCATTCCTTGAAATGTAAATCCTCATGTACTTGGCTTACAATCTTTGATCTATGAACTAGAAATCTTCTGTTTGCGTGAGTGCATATCTTGGCTTTATAGAGTGTGCAGGATGTATGTTAGAGCTCCAAGTTAGTGAAACATGTGGTGTGTATTAGTGTATCAAACAGGGTAAAAACCTGCAGTTCTCTTGTCTGCAGCCATTGCAAGCCCTCCCCTTCTAACCCCACCCAGACATTATGTGGTTGCCCAATCACAGACTTCCCAATGCAGCTCAATCATATCAAGTATTGATAAGTTAAATTTCTATTGAAATCTGTACTTTGTGCAAAAAGTACTTTAAGGGTCAGGAGTGTCCCTTTAAATGAAGCACGTAGTACACAATAGTGCAAGTCATTAAACTCCACATTGCAAAATTTAGACTGATGGCCAACTTCACTATCGTCATAGTTTGGCTATTTTTTCTACATCTGCAATGATTAATTCTACTTTTACTGGGGATAATTGCTATTTGAATGCATATATTGCTTCAAAGCAGACTCCTATTTTAGCCAGATCGGCATTCCCTGAAGTCCTCCATTGTGAGGACATGTCCAGTCAGATGTTTCCTTTTTTTAATATAGTATTTAATGCTACTTATAGAGAAGCTTTAGATGCACACAGCATTCAGTGTCATTGGATTTTGCATGCTGACAGTGGACTTCAAAGAGGTTCAATAATTGAATCTATTTCAGTCCAAAGCCTCTAGCGGCCGTCTGTCTGAAAATGGTAAAATGTAAACCATGCCATTTCTCATAAAGTATACAGTTTCATTAGCAAGTTTCTACTGGCAGCATCAATGCCCCCAAATCACTTAAGATAAGGTGACGCAATTTTGGTGTTTAGACTGTACCTTTAAAGTAATGCTTAGTACTTTACCGGGTACGTTCATTTTGAAGAAGAAATTTAAAAAATAGTATATATTATTAGTATATTTCATGAGGTTATTATTTAACCAACTTGAATAATAAAAAAAAGAATTATCCATTGTATCATCCTATTCATGTATTCCCATGCATTTATCTGTCACCTCGGAGAGTGTTCTTATTACAGTTAATGTCAGAAACATCTCATTTATCAAACTGCAATATAAGATTTAATTGGTGTTAGGGACTACCTCACCACTGCTTTGTGTCTGCTTTGCTGCAATTGTTGCTGCAATTTACTTTAATAAATTTTGTGCGCAATAAGAGACAGTTAAGAAAATCCTAATTTATATAACTGGTCCCTGGGAATAAGAACATAAGCTACAATACCTGCTTCACTACACCAATTACCATAACTATGCCGTTCTGTATTATTACAACCCATCTTCTTATTAAACATTGCAGCCGTCCATATTATATGTGCCCTATTTACTGTTATTTTGAAGGGGTTTATATGCATACCTACCAGGGCCGGCCCAAGACATTGTGCTACCTGGGTCGAAAGATGAAATGCTACCATTGATATCTTTATAATGCCTCACTAATGAGGCATCAAGAAATAGTCTGTTTTTTCCAATCTCAGTGAGAACAGTATTTTAATAGCACTTTAAAATGGCCACTATACAGGGTACAGTGGTTGTTACAAAGTGTACAACCCTGGCAATCATGACCGGATTAAAGGCTGTTTTGTTATGGGATTATTTTATCATTGTTCTTTAAAGGGTAAATTTAATAAAGGAAGATATGCTTTTTTTTTATTTTTTTTTTTTTTTTAACCATAACCTATTCAAAGAATAGATGTTGGTTTTAACACTATAGGGTCAGGTATGCATGTTTGTGTTCGTGACCCTATAGTGTTCCTTTAAAATCTGAGCGGAGTTGGAATTATTAGCTTGAAATTTTTCATAAAGTAATACTCTGGTCTTCAATAGTTTGTACTTCTTGAGACCTTGTCAAGTGATATTTTTATTTAACAGCTGTTGCATTTAAGATTTGGAATTCCCTGTGAAAACAAATAATCTAATCTGCAGTTTGCTACAGAAGCAGAATAAAATAGTTGCCAATGGTAAAGGATTGCATTGTCGTTCAACATTTTACAACAGACATGTGTTACTTAACGGTTTCTTAAATCAATGCACACAGGCAAATCTATAGCATGGGAAGAAACCAGATTGGTACATAATTTCTGTTTTAGGAAATATTGCTACTCTGTTTAAGTACTTTGAAAAGATGCAGAAGTCTGAAAATAGTTCTTAAAGGAACACTGTAGGCACTATAACAACTTAATCTAATTTAAGTTGTTAGTGCCTTAACTATTTTCATCCTTCTTATTTTTCAAATAACTTTCTTTATTCTTTATGAAGGCTTTGAAGAGCAGATTAAGCCACGCACCCTGAAACCAACCGATTCTGAGAGCCGGGAATGTAACTTACCCAATCATACTCTGACGTCAGCATGCATAACTGACATTAGGTATAATTTTGCCTCCTAATGCGCGCTCCCGCGATTTAAGAAATTCGACCATTCATTCGTCAGAAAGACGAATGAATAGAAATTTCACACGAACAAAGACTGAATGTTGGTGTTTGTTCGTTTATTACAAGGAGAGAGCTGTCGCAACTCCCTCCTTGTAATATGTAAAAATAGAACGGCAGAGAGCTGTGCTCTCCGCCACTTCTTAACCCACATGTCTTCCCTCACTCCAAGGGGGTCAATATGACCCCCATATTAGCATAAGGGAGATTAAAATACTGCTCAACAGTGAGCACTGTGGTGACCCCCCCCATCTATTAACTAGCGGGGAGGACATAGTGCCCCCCTGAGCCTCCACCTGTGCCCCGCAAGGGGGGTCCCTAAATGACAATGGTGGGGAACCTATCGTCCCCTGCCACGGGCCCCCCACACGAGTGGCGGGTGGGGGCCCTAAAATATGGGGGGACCTATTGCCCTCACCCATGTGCGGCGGGTGGGGGCCCTACATGAAAATAGGGGGGACCTATTGTCTCCCCAGCCCCCACCCATGTGCGGCGGGTATTGCCCGAAATTACAATGAGGAAGATCCTATTGTTCCCCACCTATGAGTGGCGATTGGGAGCCCTACATGAAAAAAGGGGGGGGCCTATTGCCCCCCTCCCCCCCCCGGGCTCCCAACCATGAGCGGCGGGTGGGGGCCCTAAGATGATACAGGGAGACCTATTACCCCCGCCCCCAGCCATGTGCGGCGGGTGGGGGCCCAAAATTACAAAGGGGGGAACCTATTGTTCCCCACCCATGAGTAGCGGGTGGGGGCCCTAAGATGATTGCGGGGGACCTATTGTCTTCCCAGCCCCCACCCATGAGCAGCGGGCAGGGGCCCTAGGATGATACGGGGGGGGGACCTATAGTCTCCCCGGCCCCCAGCCATGTGCAGCAGGTGGAGGCCCAAAAGTACAATGGGGGGGAACCTATTGTTCCCACCCAGCCCCCACCCATGGGCGACCGGTGGTGGCTATGTGAAAACCCATCACCCCCCATAAGGTGACTAGGGGTCCCCAGGCCCCTAGTCACCCCCGCCCTTTCTTGAAATAAATTACTACCTATCCCCCTCACCCTAAAAATAGTGAGGGGGGAAGTAATCTAAATACCTGTAAAAAAAAATTATACTTGCCTTTAGATGTCTTTTTTTCAGCCCCAAAAAAGGCCAAATAAAAATCCATAATTTCTGTCGAACTTCTAAAATAAAAAAATAACCAGAGCGGAAAAAAAATGCTGGGAAAAAAATCCAGACGCTAAATAATGTATCCACCTTCACCCAGCGAGGACACCGTGCAGACTGAGCTCCGCAGAGCGGGGTAAGGCTTATAAAACCGGATTGGGTACTTGTAAGGCTCACTATTCACCTATCAGAGCACTCTTATTGGTTGGCTTTTTTATTTTTTTTTGCGCTCTGGTTATTTTTTTATTTTAGAAGACCGACGGAAATTATGGATTTTTATTTGGCCTTTTTTGGGGCTGAAAAAAGGTTTTAGAAAAAAGAACTCTAATGGTAAGTATAATTTTTTTTTTTTTTTTTTACAGGTATTTGGATTTATTACTTCCCCCATGCGTGGGGGGGGGCCAGGGGTACAATAGGTCCCCCATATAATTTTAGGGCCCCTACCTGCCGCACATGAGTGGGGGCCAAAAGGGAAGGGACAATAGATCCTCCCCCCATTGTCACTAGGTCCCCCACCCGCCGCACAT